TTGGATAGATTTCAGTGTCGTTGGGTTCATTTCATCAAGATATTCAGTTTAAACTGAAATTTAGAAGGTCCCAAATTTAATTTAAAAAGTTTCAAACTTGATATGCCACAAGATTCCTGCTCGATCAAGACAATTTTTTGTGTCATATCAATATTGTATATAATTATTATAGTAAAATGATTAAAATAATAAAAAATTAGAAGAAAAATATAAAGAACACTTAAATTAGAAACAAATATAATTTTTAAATATTTTTAATGTTTTGTAACTTAAAATTTATAATGCTAATATATATATATAATATATATACTATATATATATATATATATATTATAATATATATATATATATATGAGCTAGCTTATGAGTTATGACTAGTTTAAAATTGGCTCAAGAGTCGGCTAGTCTCACTTGCACCCATAACTGGAAGTGACATAAATAGCTCTTGGGTGGATCTCTCTTTCTTTTTCTTTGTTTCTTTTTTAAATCATATGACCTGGCAGCACTTAGAAGTAGTTGGCCAATAGGTTATTATATATTCATTTGATTGCACCCAAAATATTTATATCAAGATGTTATGAATTAGGATGGACTTGAAAGATATTATATTTATTTTGAGACTAGTGTGTTTTATATGTTAAAAAATTTATAGCAGTAAAATATGTATTTATTGTTATAACTTTGTATTAAGATTTAATAAATAGAAGTTGTAAAATATCATAATTTTTTAGTGAAATTTTAAAGAAAGGAAAATACCATAGTGTCTGATCTAATTTTAATAATTCATTATATTATTAACGGTACAAGAATATGCTCTTTTCCACAATTAAAGAAGATGAGATTACACATCTAATAAAAATTATCTAATTCCCATTATAGGGATTATAGAAATCAGGTTAGCATGGACGTATAGCTGAAATCCAATAATAGAGTTCAATCGTAGTAATCAAGTCATAATAGTCAGATGATGACAGTCAGATATTAATGACAATGATTACAAATGGCGGTCGTAAGCGATGATCTTGGGAAAATATTATAGAATTCTCTAGCTCTCTCAGGTTTTGAACCCGCATCATGTAGACAATGGATACTTATTCATAACTTATTGAGAGGAGCATTTAGATAAATTTGGCAAAGATATAAAACATTATATTGAACAATCCGTATTGATCTTCTTACTTGTAGATCATTTATCTAATATTTGTGTGCCTTATTAATGTCAGAATAGATTGATCTTGGGCTTGTTGGATTGGCCTTGTCCAGCAGCTTGATCTGAGCATACGATGCAAGATTTGGAGCCAATTTTGGCCATCAATTATTATTCAAAATTTCTAAATATATTTCAAGTACTTGATTTGAGTTCATTTCGATATAAATCTGATCATTTGTGATATCGATGTGTTCATCTCATCAAGATACTCAGTTTGACTAAAAGTTTGATCTTAAATGTAATTCCATAAGTTTCTAATTCAAATCTTTCCTCAAAATTTATACCGATCAAGTGAATTTTTTAGAGACGTGTAAACACTACAATAAAAATT